CCTTTTTTTTTTTTTATAAAAAAGTAATTATCATCATATGTGAGAGTTGCTTCACTAAATTGTTCAAGCCACCCTAATGAACTTAGGCATGGTTTCGCAGCTTGTCTATGACAAGGATACATTCACAACTGACGACTTCATGGGGGAAGCTGAGATTGACATTCAGCCTCTTGTTACTGCTGCAAAAGCATCTGAAAACTCGACACTCGGTGAATCAATGCCGCTTGGGAAATTGAAAGCAAGCAAAGAAAACACTCTTGTTAAAGATGGCATTATCAGTCTAATAGATGGTAAGGTGAAACAGGATATCACTGTGAAGCTGCAGAATGTTGAAAGGGGAGTACTAGAGATTGAGCTTGAATGTGTTCCTCTCACACAATAACAGGTGCAAGGGAAGGCTGATGAAAAACAATATTCAAGCATATACAGTGGTGTATTTAACATGGTTAATCCTTGGGCTGCTGTAACGTATGAGAGGTCCTCTATCTTAGCTGCAGTGAAGCTTTTGGTTGCATTAGATTAGTCAATTGCTTCAAACATGGACGCGTAGAAGAAGGAAACACAATAAAGTGGCAAAGTGTCTGAATTTCGTTTCCATTGCCAGAATCTCTATACTGGAGTAGTTGCAAAGTGAATTCTGCTTGTTAGAGGATGCTCTCCCTGACAGGGCTGAGATGATGAAGGGTCGACTATTTGGACGGACAAGTGTAGACTGCAGCAGAAAGGCAGGGGAATCCGGAATCACACCAGCATTCAACTTTTGATGCCATATTAGACTTTTGATATTGCTAGAGCTAGATATTTCTTTAACCAACTGTATGATGTAAGATATATGTTCTAACCAAAACGAGTACTTTTCTGGTTTTATTAATGCTAATTAGATTACACGTTGGTGTTTACTCTTTTTCAAGTGACGATACAATTATCCAATACCAGGATAAAAAAAACATTGATCGTCGTAAAAGTTGTCAACTAAGAGTGAATCTACAAGATGTACAGTGATAACCTCCAAATCATTCCTCAAAGAGTAAGTGTATACGATCGTATGTAATATAATTTACCCAACTATGAGTCGGGGTCGAACCCCATAGGGAACAATACGTAGGCGATTAAGCAAGTAAGAGAATTATCGCTTATTATGTTAAGCCAAACACAAATAGGGGTTTTGAGAAAATATTATAACTAATGCAAAAAGTTAAACTAACCTAGAAAGCAAGTAAATGATCATTGGCTAAAAACATGGATACAAAGGGAATTACATTCAAGTAATGATCCAATGTATTTCATGGTTTCACAAATATGAGTGAGATTATGTTAATTAACCTTGGATAATAGTTCTATATTAGTTTCTTCCTAAGACTAACAAGACTTCCTAATTGAATTATCCCTAAAACAATTAAGAGGATTAAGTACACCCGAATGTGGCTACAAGTAGTTTAATCCTATCCCTACGTAGAATCTATAAAATGAGGGCTAACGCCTCAAGTTTTTGTTAATTAATCTTTCCCAACCCCGAGTTTGCCTTTTCCAAGATTAATTTGAAGTTAATGAGCGAGTCCTAGGGTTAACTAATCCCTTTGGAAACATTAAAGAACAAGAATAATTAAAGAAACATTTAACTCACTTCATAATTAATAAAAATCATTCAATACATAAGCATACCAAGAGATTTAATCCAAACTTTCCCGATGAATATTTCATAAACAAGTTTCAAGTATTGGAATAAATACTACACACTTAAATATTCAATGCATAACAAGGAATTAAAGAAATGACTAAAAAGGGTAAGAAAATCTCATCCAAAGTCTTCAAATCCTCAATCCCCAAGTGTCGTGCAAGAAACCCTAGCTCCAAAGCTTGTATTTTCTTTCCAAATGCCAAAGATGTGTTTCAAAGTGAGCTAGGTCGAGTATATGTGATTTGGGATCCGAAAATGTGAAACGACAAGTCTGCCCAGAACCAAAGATCGTCGATCGTACCTACGGAATATTGCACCGCAGGTGCAAGAGCAAAGGGGATGCAGATGCATTAAAGCCCATGCAGATGCGAAGGGCTGGATTCCCTCCAACATCGCAGATGAAGATTCTTATATCTCAGGTGCGAAGATGCATACAAGTCCAAAAACATCATACAAGTCTACTAGAATCGTCAAAACACCGATCCGAGGTCGTTTACAAAAATTGTTGACTGTGGTCAACTCAAGTCCCATTATAGGCAAACTAATCACATTTTCTTAAAAATTCACGTAAAAATTTTCCGAAAAACAACACGGACCATGCATGCAAGTCATATAACATCTAATGAAGCTATGATAGGTCTCGAAACACAAAAATAAGGACTAACACTCAAAATGACCTATCGGTTCATTACATAATTCTATTACAATGGTGAGAATAAAGCATGTAAACAACAAAAAATTATAATGGTTACAAAAGGAAATGATACAAAGACAAGGAAATGAAACTAAGATGTGCGAAATAGGCATAGTTGCATTTGTTTAAGAAAATTAAAAGGCCCATACTACCAACAGCCTCTTCTCTATAACTATCAACTTTGCTATCTACCCTTTGCCTCTTAGGCCATCTCCAACCTTTACCCCATTTTTGGTCCCCAAAATGGGGATTTCTCCATTTTGGGGATAACTTACTCTAACCATTCTCCCATTTTTTCCCCAAACTTTTTTATATTCTTTTAATTCTTCTATACTATATTATTATCTTTCATTTCAATTTCATTTTTTAATTTCCATTAAACAAATTCTATTTTTTATTTTTATTAATTTGTAATTTCCATAATTAAAACAATTCCATAAAATTTTAAATAATATAATTTGTAAGCAATTATTATAGATTAACTAATAATTCAAATAAAAGTGAAATCATTGTGATACAAGATTAATTAAATACATATTACATAACGATAAAATTCATTCGAAATACTAGATAAATATTCAACTTCAACCTCTAGTATTCTCCCATAAATGATCTATTAATGCATTATGAAGTGCAAAATGAGCATTTTTGTCCTTAATTCTTCTATGTCGAAATAAAAAATCTTGAAATCGTTGATTTTTATCTACTGACATTTCTACATAAAAATAATAAATGCACGAAAATTAATTTATCAAAATTATACACCAAAGTTAAGATATAATATTAATAAAATAAAGACATTACATAAACATAATTAGGCATATATAAAGTGATAAATTAAAAGATTAAATTATAAAATAATAATAATAAAGTGATGAATAGTAATGGGGGAGATGAATAGTGTACCCCCATATTCGAGGGAACACTATTCATCCCCATTTTAGGGACAAAAATGGGGGAGGGTTGGAGCTAAATTCCCCCAAATATTTCCCCCATTATGGGGGATGGGGGCAAGGTTGGAGATGGCCTTAAACCAGTTGTACCCATACACGCCCTAAATTTTCAAACTCTCTTAGCACGTTGAAAGTTCTTTTCAAAGTTGATTCACTAATTGGAACAGTGATAAAAAAAAATTCTGATTTGATTCGCTCGTGGCTAGGAGGTATTTATCTCATCGTGATCACAAGAAGAGATTTGCTATGATTAATAGTTCACATGATTTTAGAATAGAAATTAGGTTTTCTAAAGGCTTTTAGCAAATACATAAAAGACATCCGGACTCTTGCTCCTTATCATGGATATAATCAAAAGTAATGATAGCTCAGGTGTAATGTCCCAGGATTTTTTATGATTAAATTAAGCCTAAGACGAGCTTAAGAGAGTAATTAAAGAAGTCTCGGGGTCATAAATACCCACTCGAGGGTAATGGAGCCACCAGAATACTTGTATCTCATCATAATAAAAGTTACATGAAGTGGAGTTTGATAGGCAAGTGCATGACTCATGAAAATTGGGGTAACGATGAAGTTGAAGGATGGCAGAGGCAACCGTGTCGCCTGCCTCACGGTTCCAACCATATTGATTTTCAAAGAGGAAACGAGAGTGAAGTTGTGGCCTTGCCCCAACCATGTCGTCTACCTTACGGTTGCCTTAATTGTGTCGCTTGCCCCTACGGTTGCCGCAACCGTGTTTCTTGAAACTCAAATTTTAGCTTTTGCCTATAAAATGCCTTTAAGGTCCCCATTTAAAAAGGGCATTCAATACACTTCAGGTGAGTACTTATGGTGCAATCATGATTACGAAACATCATTCAATGCAAGCACTAACACTATAATGGATCAAAATCCATATGGATTCCTCCAATCTTCAAGCAATTTCTTCAATTCTTCAAGCTAGGGTTTTGACACCAAGAGGTAAAATCTCTACTCAATACTCGAGAACAACTGTGGGATGAGTACTTGAGGTGTACTATGAGATAGAAACCACCATTTGATTAAGGAATAATACTAATTCTTGAAATGGGTATTTATGAACTAGGGTTCTTGAATAAGGAAGAAGATGAATAGTGACTTGGTGATTCTTAAATTATTAGTGGGTGATTATAAGAAGGCAAAATACATATTTTACCCATTGACCTTTACGGGAATAATATTATACACCCAAACTTTTAAAGGTGTGTCAACTACACACCACTTCGGTGTTTGACTATATCTGGTTAAAGATTGTCATTACACGCGCCAATCAGCATTTGACGCGTGTCATAAATCGAAAAAAAAGAAGAAGAAAAACTAGGGAAAAAAACCTCTCCCCCCACCCCACCCCCACTCCACTCCACTCTCTCTCCTCATCTTCCCAAAGAAAAAAATACAGAAAAAGAAAAATCCTACCCCCTCCTCATCTCCCCAACTCCATCATCTTCTCCACCACCACCATACTACCACCAACCCTTCCACTACAAGCACCTTCTTCCCTAACTATAGATTCAACTCTTTGCCCAATTTTTAACAAGTTTTAACAACATCCATCACAAATCCTTATACAAATTTTAAATTCAAGCTCAAACCCAAAGTTTCAAACTTGTTAATGGTATTATTTGAATTTTATCAAAATTAATCATCTAAGTAAATTTTTATTCAACAATAATCACGAATTCAAACTAATTTTCTAAGTCATGGAACACCAAAATCAACAAGACCCTGTCACACCCCCTTTTACCTACACCCCGCGGAAGGAGTATATAAGAGAGTTTTTTCCAATTTAAAGTGACAAAATCGAAACGGAATTATTTATTTAAAATTCAGAGTCGCCACTTGGGATAAATTATGGTATCTCAAGTCACCGGTTCAAATCCGGAATCGAGGAAAGATTGACTCTGTTTTACAGTCTGCGAACACAAAAATCCGGGTAAGGAATTCTGTTAACCCGGGAGAAGGTGTTAGGCATTCCCAAGTTCCGTGACTCTAGCACGGTCGCTCAACTGTTATTATTGGCTTAATTATCTGATTTTAGAACATTCTTAAACCTATGTGCAATTTTAAACTTTTTAACCGCTTTTATTCATTTTTAGGAAGATTGCAACGTCATTTAAAATATGCCTCGAATCACGTCACATAAATGCACCCGTAGTTTGCAACACATTTCATATAACATTGTTGTGATTTGGATTTGGGTCACATAAATGCGCACCCGAATTTAAGAAGGTAAATTTTAAAATGACGCGCCTAAAGCAACTACGCGTTTGCAATTTTGCGAGGGCCATGGAAATTCAACTAATGGCACGCCTCGATTTCTAAGAATTTGATTTAACTATTCGAGGGTCATGGGTTATCTATTTTTGTCTATGGCACACCTCGAATCCGATAACTAAAAGGGCTAATTCATTAACTAGAAGACTAGGGGAATCTGCATCCTTTATTTTAAGCTAAAGTTCACCAAACTTAATGTTTAACGGGTGGACAAATTAACTGACCGTTTGATTGTTTAATGAGGCTCAGGCCAGCATCGGGCCTTGTAGCCTCAAACTGGCT